GGATCGTTTGCACATTCGTATAGCGATAGTTATACCAACCGGTGGAAACTAACGATTTTAAATTGACTCACTACTTGACTAGTCTATTGGTCCCAAGTATATCTATAAGCGTACACCATTATAGTCGAAATTCTAGTACTACACTATGTTTGTTTTGGTTATAGCACAAACGAAGTGACAGTCGGAGCGGCTCGAAAACTTTTGTGACGAACCTGCTATTGCAATTTTTCATTGTACCTTATGGCAACACTACTACGCTACTACTGGATTAAACCACATGGAAACACTAAAGTTTTGGTTCTATCTCTTTCACTCTACTCAAAACTGAAATGCATAAAAAAATGACAAAATGATACACTCTTTGCACTGTCAAAGATCATTGCACACAAAATCAACTTTTTTTCAAATCAAAACAAAAATACTAGCCCATTTGGTTGATGATGGCACAAGCTTTTAAGAAAATTCTATTACAGCGAACCACATTATTTTAATTGATTTTTTCCGAGGGGGGCGACACATCTAAATCTCAATTCTAGATGCTCAAAAAATCTCACACTAGCGAATCAATCTTCGAAAAATCATCTTTCATTTCTCGCATCTACTTGCATCGTGCTTCATCTTTTTGCAGGAAATCTTCAAAATCGACATAAATCTTCCTTCAATCTACTCAGCGTGCGTGCAGCTAGCCACAACAAAACACAATCTTTTCTGCATCGCAGATAGAGTCGTCCCCCTCGATTTTTTCGCCAGTTAGTCGTCTGTCACCTCGTTTGTGGTTATACCATAGAGTAGGATTGGGTGATCTTCAGAGAAAGATCGATCTTGACACATCGATCTTATATTTGGCTCTAGAATCGATCCGCTGATTAAATCGGTACCAAAGAATCGATCTTTGATAAATCGATTTGCTTTGGTGCGTTGGAAATTATTTCCATTCAATTCAATTAAATCACCGGCTAGAAATTTTTCTTTGAAACGACCAAACGAAAACAAAGAGAAAATAAACGTCACATTTGCTCACGTCACGTGCGTGTGCCAATTCAGTTCAGTAATACATTTTTTACCATTTTTGTGTAGTTTTGAATCATTAATGATTAATCAATCAAAATGTATCATTCGGTTTCTCCAGGTAGACAAAATGTGTCCGCAAGGAGCAATGAGCACGTACCGTAAGATTTGATAAAGTGAAACAAGTTGTTGAGATATTGTTAAAAGAATAACACTGCTTTTTGATGCCAAACTCGGTCTAACGCATTGAAACGCCATTGAAAGGCCAATGAATTCACTTCGGCCTATCGAATGAAGATAAATATTGATTCGGTCGGAGCGCTTCATCTGTATTTCAGAATATTGGGTGCAAACATTCATAGCACGCGTTATTGACTTCGTTCGGAAGCATTTGTACCAGTATCGCATAGTTTACCTGTTAACGCCGAAATCATGGATTTATTTGATGTTTTCTGTTTGATAGGCTCAAAATGGGCGCTTAGGCCGAAGTAGTTCTCTACCCTAATCCAGCTAATTAAATAGGGAGCGATGCTGATGTTGTCGTTATGTTCGTTAAATTTACCACATAATAAGAGGTGAGAGTAAATCGTTTTCTGGATGTAACTACACTTAAAAAATTGAACGACTATTTATTTTTAAAGATCGAAAAGATCGTAAGAAAAAATCGATTTTTTCGATCTTTTCGTGGACAAAGAATCGATCCAAAAATCGGATATCAGGATGAAAAACATCGATCTTGCAAAGATCGATCCAAGATCGCCCAATCCTACCATAGAGGTAACTCTAAGACCAGACGGTCCCGAAGAATCGTGCTCAATTTAAAATCGTTCGTTTGTACCCGGGACGGGACTTGACAATCGAGCTTCTCACTCTTCTTAATGTTTTTGATGAATGCCCGTCAAAAATTAGTGCATTGTGTTTGACGGAGTTGACTAATGATGCAGGATTGTAAAATGATTTTTATATTTTAATTTTGATTTGATTCGGAGGTTCTACCGCAGTTTAGCACCTTGTACATCATTTTTGCTTAACACAATAAAAACACCATTCACAAACAAGAATGTCCATCTCTTAAAGCACGCCGTGGACCCTATTTTCCAACTTTCCTTTCTCAAATATAAACAACGCCATTGTCTTCAACATTGATTCCGGCATCACTGCCAATGATGTGATCTCTCTGTCCTTTTTATTCCACGATTGCTACTTTCAAATTGACCAATCAGCAACTGGCTCGAATTTGACAGTAAATTGGCTCGAAATCGCTACCCGATTGTCAAGTCCCCCATCGTGATACCCTCCTTTATCAAACTATGTAGCAGAAATAGTGTGAAACCAGTTGGTAAAGCCGTGATTATCAAAAGAGAAAGTCGATGAAGAAAATCGATCAAAACCCCCTCAACTTAGTGTTTTTTTTTGCGTTTATTTATAAGGCCCCCTCGCCTATTAGGCATTGCTTGTGCCGATGAGCATTATTAACAATTAGAACCCTTCCCGCTTTTATTTTTCAAATAAAACGTATTATTCCCTATTTGATAAGTTGCATTATTTTCATCTAAACGATCTGTTTGCTGACTAGTCTTCTGGGTGCACTGATCAGCACGAACTTTCTTTTTTTTTCGTTCTCCTTGTGTTTCGACAGCCGGCGTTTGTTTATTTTCAATTTGATCCTTTGTTGCGTTTGATGAGCTGGTGCTAGAATTTTCGTCGTTGCTTTCAACGTTTGAAGTGTGATGATCCTCGGTTTTTCGCTGTTGTTCTTCTGCTGAGAACCCGGTGAAAGCAGGAGATGATTGACCCGATGTCGTTGGCTGCTTTTGTTCGATATCAATCGACGGGAAATAAGCGAGACTGAATACCCCCTCGGTTGGTGGAGCTGCTGGAGCGGTGCTATTGTTCGATGTGGCTACATCCAAACATTTCTGTTTGGGATGTGCTGCTCGGCCACAATAGCGGCACGTTTTTGGTTGCTTGTCGTACGTTACCAACGTTGTTTCGTTGTCGACCGTGATGTACGATGGAATGGTGCTTTCGAGTCGCATTCGCAAAACTCGAACACCGCTCAGGAATTCTGGGAAGTAGTGCTTCCATTTCTCATGTCGACTGGAAATCACTGTCCCGTACTTTGCCATGTGGTTCATAACAGTGGCTTGTGGCCATGCCAGAGGAAGGTCATGCACTCGAACGGTCACTGCTTCACAATCCACATATATCGGGATTTTGAACTCACTCTTCGCACAGAGAATCGCGTGTTTATAGTTGTGCGCCTTTTCATAGCGCAAGGCCACTTCATTGTCTATCATCTCAATAAAAACACAATTTCGGACGTTATGAAACTGAATGCATCTAATGTCCGAATATTGAAGCCTTATATTGTTCTCGAAGATTTTTTGCACTTTTCCCGCATTGGGACGAACTGGAAGGACACTGAAGTCAACAACAAGTGTGTTTTTACGAACTACACTCATTTTCGCTACAATATTTCACCAAGTTAAGCAGAGCAGAAAGAGCACACGTCCGATGAATACGAGTAATGTCGAATGAACTTAGTGTTGTGTAACTCTAAGACCAGAAGGTCCCGAAGAAACGAGCTCAACTTTTTGGCTCAGCTCTGGTACTATCTTCGGTCCCAAGCTAATCGATTCACCCCTCGAAGCATAGAAAAATCCACTAACCCCTCATTTTATCTGTCAAACTTTCATAGCGAATCAAAACAAACATATAGCGAATTCGTTTATTATTCAGTTCCAACCTGGATCGGGTATCAAGATTGGGTCTGCTTGTTTTCTGACAAACGTCAGTTTGATCGTTTGTTTTTAAAACTTAGCTCAGGTTGTGGTTCACACTGACAAAAAGTTCGGTTTCGCACTGGGTTGGAACTGGTTCCAACCCAGTTAATAAACGAATTCGCAAATAGTGTAGTACTAGAATTTATACTAGAATGGGCTACGTTAGTCGATTTGCTTGGGACCAATAGGCTAGTCAATTAGTGAGCCAATTTAAAATCGTTAGTTTTACCTGAAAAACCTGACCACTTTTCGTAGCGCGGTCTATTTTGCTTTTTAGAAATTGCACCCCCAATATGTTACCGAGAGACGTAATCCTACGTCCAAAAAACATATATCTTATAGTCAGTTACTCCTGCCGGCGAAAAACAGAAGAAAACTTTCCACAAAGCGCATCACGGGAGAGATGAAAGTCGAAGACAGATGGAACTCTGTTGAATACTCTGCAGTCCGCAAATTGCACCGTATGCTCCATAATTTGTGCGACGTAGAGGCAGTCTTAGCATAAGGTTGTTACGAAGCGGTCGGGGTTGAACATTCAGGTCAATTTGCCTCAGGAAAGCCTCACAATCTGTCCTGCCTTGCAGGATATCGGCCACGGTTAGGACTCTGCTTGTGCCTCTTCTAGTCCGGAGAAGTTCTAGGTCGATAAGTTGATAACGGCTTTCGTAACTGGGTAATCGAAACGGATCACGGCAACTCAAAACGAAGAAAGCGACGTTGAACAGATTTTCGGCACCGTTGTTGTAGTTTGGGTTCCAAACTGCTGAACAATACTCAAGCGTCGTTCGGACAAGCGAACAATAGATTAGAGATTTTAGACAGTAGATATCGGTGATGTTTTTAGCTATCCTAAAAATGAACCCTAAAGTTCTTGACGCCTTATCGACAACATATGCAATGCGAATCCTAGATCACACCCAAGTCTTTCATCTGATTCACATCATGAAGATAAGCAGCCAGGAAGCGAGTTACTTGGCGCAATATACTACAGCATGTCAAATGTTGAAAGATATTCGACCAGCAAAAGTAAAAGTAAGGATGTTTTGCTAACTTTCGTTGAAAATTTTGGACATGTTTTTATATAATTAAACATTGAACTAGTTCGATACATATAAATCTCTGTGACTCTGGGTCTGGCCCCAGAATCTTTACTTTTTTGATAACAATTAAAACTCTACTTATCATTAATGTTTTCATTCATTACAGCTTGACAATCGCGGGAGCCATGATCGTTCGTCGTTGGTTGTTGAAGTTGCGGGGTGTCAACATTTACATGCCACTGGGCCAAAGCGGTGCCACCACAGCGCCATCGGCAGCAGATTCGCAGTCACCGATTATGGCACTAGCGTCGCTGGCCATCATCATGGCCTATTTTTATCTTTGTGATCGTACCAATTTCTTCATGAAGGAAAACAAGTACTATTCGGAGTTCAGCTTCTGGATTCCGGTTGGTTATGTATTCGTGTTGGGCTTATTCTTCACTGAGGACAGCAAATTTACCAAGGTGCTGCACCGCGATCAGACCGACGAATTGAAAGGATGGATGCAGTTGGTCATATTGATATACTACATGACGGGTGCATCGCACGTTCTGCCAATCTACATGCATATAAAGGTGCTTATAAGCGGATATCTGTTTCTCTCCGGATACGGCCACTTCACCTACTGTTGGCAGACAGGAAACAGTGGAATAGTTCGATTTCTACATGTCATGTTTAAGATTAACTTCCTGACAGTGGTTCTCTGTCTATGTATGAATCGACCGTACCAGTTCTATTTCTTCGTACCGTTGCTTTCGTTTTGGTATTGTATGGTTTACTTCCTGCTGTCGATTCCACCTAGAATCACTGCTTTGAGCTCGGAAAACAATGCGTACCAGTACTTGTACGTGGTGTTGAAATTCGTTTGCATGTTGAGCGTTATAACGGTGCTATATATGAGCGAGGTGTTTTTCGAGCGAATCTTCGTCACTCGACCATGGAAAGCTTTGTTCGTAACGACGGACGATGACATCCACGAATGGTGGTACCGATGGAAGCTGGATCGGTATACAATCACGTATGGAATGATTTTCGCTGCCATTTTTCACATCGCTCAAAGGTATTACTTCTTTGACGACAACAACCATGGAAATTTGTTCTCCAGGCGTATTTCGTTAACATCAACGCTAGCAGCGTTCGCCGGAATCGGATTTTACACGACATGGAGCTTTTTCTGCCGGAACAAGCAGGATTGCGAAGAGATCCATTCGTACGTGGTTTTTATCCCAATTGTTGGCTACATACTGCTTCGTAATATTTCCGGTATTCTTCGAACGCGCTATTCAACATTCTTCGCCTGGTTCGGGCGAATTTCATTGGAGCTGTTTATCTGTCAATATCATATCTGGCTAGCTGCGGATCGTAATGGTGTGCTTGTGCTTCTTCCGGGATTTCCAACATTGAATGTACTGATAACTTCGTTCATATTCGTCTGTGTGTCACACGAAATTCATCGTCTCACCACGGTGCTTTTGCCCTATGTTGTGCCGAACGATTGGAAGCTGGCATTGCGGAACATGTTGATCTTTGCCGTGGTTCTCATCCCCATTGGACGGTACGACGGAATGTTTTAGGTAAATAATTGTATTCTATTGCGTTATACAGGCATCTCACAGTTATGCAACAGTTCCATTTGATTAACACGCCGGACCGACATCCATGATTGTGGGCTGACTGTGCAGTGATACCGTAATAATCATGTGAACAAACTATTAGTAACATTACATTAAGGGCAAGGCAAATTTCAAAAAAATTTCACTGTTTTATGCAATTCTTATGGTAGTGTCGGACATTTATTAGTATGTAGTAAAACTGGAGGAAGCGGGCCAATTATCGCCATTAATTTGTATCAGCTTGTGGTTCAATACATATTTTCGTATATGTTTTATTTCATGTAGCCTACAAAAGTTAGTTCGAAGCACGCAACGTTCAGAAACCGTAAAACCTTTTCGTAAATATTTAGTAATGAACGATAATACAATTTTTTTTTGTAAGTTCGAGAATATAAGGAATAAGGTTGTAAAATTCGAGGTCTCAAAATTTGTGTAATGCACTGTCATTGCGCTTGCCATACAATATACAATTTCATGCATTGGTTGGCATGAAGACTACACTGCTCATAAAAGCATATCAGTCCCATCTGGAAAAACAGCAAGCCATGACTCCATGGAAGCTTATGGACGAGACAACATTGATTTGGTATTTTTTACGATATTTGCTGAGCAAAGCATGTACTGCCGTTATACGCATAACTGTCCCATGTTCTATGCAATCCTTATGTACCGTGGGACTCTTATGGGTATAACGGCAGTGTACATATTGTAAAATTTCAGTACACTGATAAAATTTCAAAAATTGTTTTTATGTGTCCCACACATGAATTTTTGCAATGTGATCAACAAATGATATCTATGTGTCGCACACATACTTAATATGTGTATACATAAAAGCCATGCCACACATACAATTCATTTGACTCATGAATTTCATATGAGCTTCTGGTTGGATTCTGTTTATGTGTGGTCATATGAAAATCATGTGGAATTTCACATGGAAATTCGTCAATAAAAATGTGTGGAATTTTATTAGTGTATACATTACAATCAATTAGAATGTACAACTAATTATTAGTTTTCCATTAACATCCATACTCTTTGGTACAAAAAACGTAAATATTTACCTTTTTTGACAAAACCCAGGTAGTCATGACGTTTGATTATTGAAAACAATATGAATGAAGAAAAGAGACCAACTGCTGTCATGATTACCTGAGATTTGTCAAATAATGTAAATATTTACATCGATTGTAACGAAGAATGGGACTGTTATGCTTTTTTGTGTATTGTACATTGTAGTCGATATACGTACACCCAAAAAAGTTTTCATATAGTTTCTATTGGAAACGGACATGATATTTTTCCAATAACAAAATTAATGATTTTTATCTGAAATTCACATAAAATTCATATGATCACATGAATTCTATGTGATAAATCACATAAATTTCATTGGACACATAAGGTTCATGTGATCTTGTATTGCGATTCTCAATTAAGAGATCACATGAAAATTATGTGAAATTCGAATGGATATTTTCCATTGGAAATGTGATTTATTTTTTGAGTGTAGGTATCGGAAAGTGGAGCAAGATGACCCTAACGAAGCACGAATAAAATTCCACTATTTTGATAAGAAAATAATTCTTTCTATAATCTTACAGAAGATTCAAGGATTGGCCTATAATGCTATATGCTCAAGCATATGCTTCAAAGAACAATTATACAAAATTGTTAAACTGCGAAAAAATGTTCAATGAAGACTTTGAATATTCTTACAATTATTTCTGCGCAAGATGATCAGCCCTATGGGGCAACATCAATTTATTGTAGTCATAAATAATCTTTCTGCCGAAAATTATATAACAACTCGACAGTGAGCATGCATAAGGGCGTAAACGCGATGATCGATTCTATTTGTCGATTTTCTCTTTTGTTAATAACTCGCTTGAATTAACATTTCTCGGTGCGTTTGTTGTTGCTTTTGATGGCCAATACAACCTGTTACAGCACTTTATTTTACAAATTTCAGAAAATTGCTTCCCTTAGCAGTAGCAATTGAAGGGGTTAGAAGGAAAGGGGTGTAAGTGGCTTTGATCGATTCTCTTCATAGACTTTCTCTTTTGATAGGCACAGCTTTATAAACAGATTTTGCGCTATTTTGCCACATAGTTTGATAAAGGAGGTTCTCATCTAGCATCCAGAATGGCACACAAATCAAGGAATGTGCTTGTAGGTTAATTATTAACGAAAGAGAAAGTTGATGAAGAGAATCGATCAAAGTCACTTACACCCCTTTCCTTCTAACCCCCTCATATATATAGAGAGTAGAAAGCGAGCTAGGACAACTTTTATGAATGAAGGTACAAATCGGTTTGATTATCTCTCTTTACCAAACTCCCCCGTTTGAGAGGGATGGTGAAGGATATCTCCCACCGCCACCACTGGCAAAAAGAGATGATCACCGACACGCTCATGTACCGACGATGTGTTTGAAACGATTCTGTGACACTACCCCGAACGCCATAACCCCGAACGCCATTACCCCGAATGCCACTACCCCGAATGTCCTACTACCCCGAATGGCCATTACCCCGAATGCCCTACTACCCCGAATGGCCATTACCCCGAAATTAAGACAAATGAAAGAACAGCAAGGGGTCAAAAGAAGGGTACATTTTTAGAAGGAAATTTCGTTTTGGAATTTATACTGAATACAAATGATAATTTTTTATTGGAATTTTGAAGCTTGCAAGCGAGCAAGCTTATTTTACGCGAGAAGCCCGAGAGATGTCGTTACTGAGGTCCTATGTTTTGAGATACTATGTTTTCAAGAAAAACTTTTTCAAAGTGTTATGTCTGTTGTCTGTGATTAAACTCTCTGATTAGTTTCACTTTACTAAATTGATGATACACTACGTTTACTTTTATGGAACTATGTATTTATCAATTCCAAACCATTTTAAAGCTCTTTAGAAAATGACAACCTTCAAGTTTTCGAGCACTTCGTTTACCATTTAAAAAGTCCAAGGGTCTAATATGCAATCCAATTCAATATGCAATACCAGTCGGAAACTGTTAAACCTTATCAAAGAATTGTTCGACCTGAGTCTAGACCTTATATATTAAAAGAAGGGAATATTCCTTTCCCTTCTTTATCATACATCCAAAGAATAAATTATTTTCTTTTTCTATATTCAAAGAAAGGAATATTCCCTTCTTTATCGTTCATCCAATAATTAATTATTTCCTTTTGTTATATTTTCAAAGAAGGGAATATTCCCTTTTTTATCATATATTTAACGAATTGATTATTTTCTCTTTTATATATTAAAAGAAGGGAATATTCCCTTCTTTATCGTATATCCAAAGAATTAATTATTTCCTATTGTTATATTTTCAAAGATGGAAAACCCCCTTGAGCCATTAAGGGGCTGTTCATTAACTACGTAGACAGTTTTTTTTTGGGATTCTTGACCCCCCCCCCCTTCCCCTGCATAGACAATTTTTTTCATACAAATTTTTTTAAATTTGTATGGACCGTGCACAATGACGATCTCAAGGAGACACGGGTAGGGTATACATTTTTACCCTAGTTCAATTGTCAAAAGATGTGGTTTATAGACGATGTTCCCTTGTTCCATATGCCCATCTTACCTTACATTCCCCTATCTATCATGGATGAAAAAATTGTTTTCTAATAAATTGCCACAAAATAGTAAGAAATATCTAAGCACACAGCGAAAAGCTTTTTCAAAGGTAAGGCTGCAGTAAAATTTTCTTCTCTCGTCAAAACAGTAAAGGTGGTTTTTGTTCGTAGCCGTGCAAAAAATAGGTAGCCAGATAAGAAATGAAAAACAAACATAGTCAAAAAATGAAATTTAAATTAATTAGATTTAAAATTTAAAACCAAATCGAATTCACTGCGATTTTATTTTGTAAGAAGCAGCTGGCTAAAATAGCACATAAGTCCCATCTAGAAAAAAACTATTGAAGATTTATTTCTCCATGGGCTCTTATGCATGGGACAACGATGTATTGTAGTTTTTACGATATTGTCTGATCAATACAAATAGCTTTCAATGCAAATTATAATACTAAGATAATTTACAATCGATACATATATATATATATTTATATATATTATTAGTCACGTAGGTCATTCATTACTTTTCCGGGGATAAGATTTGAACTCGTTACTTTGGCATGAGATGTATGGCCAATCGCTAACTAATTTTCGTCAAATATCTATATCAGACTCTGAAATACTTAACTTTTATAAGTAAGCTTACAATGTATGCAAAAGAAATTGTGCTCCATAAAAATCTTAATACCTAGCTGAATCAATTATAAACTACTGACATGTAACTCCTTCAAATGAAATGGATTTCTTTCATTAATTCGGCACCGGATTGATTAATTTGAACTTTATAGTTTTATTTCTCATTTCGTTTTACTTCTTGAGAACATACAGAACGAAGTTTAAAACAACTCAACAGAACACAACAGCAATGTGCTTAACTGAAACCATCGTATTCTTGTGATCTTCTGTTTATAAATTATCAGAAAATTGTCCATTAAGGTATTGCTCGACTGTTGAATTGTAACGTGTAATTTGTCTATTAACAATAAGAATTTCATAATTTGAAACCTATAATTTTCTACATTTTTGCTGAATTAGTTTCAATACCCTAAAACATCCGAATGATCCTAGCGCCTTGGTCAACTACAAGCTTCACCGTGTTCAATTTTTTCATTTATAACATAACTGGTGTAAACATCGTACCCTAGCGATATAGTGTTATCGTACAGAACGCGATATTTGGTGGGTAGGAGATAGAAATTGAACAACTGCGCTGGTGGCCATACGACCCACTCGGCCGTGTACAGCCGTATGAATTTATCCTTCATCTCTTGAATCGTTTCGTCCAGAGAAGCTTTCCGCAGTACACTCAGCGTGGCAAAAAACAAAAATATCACTATAGGTGACGCCACGGTTTGATCAATCAGTACCTTCTTCAGTACGATACCCAGCGTTCGGCCGGGAAACCTTCGGTCCATAAAATTGTACCAGTTGTGGCAAAAAATACCGACAGTCATGCCGGAGATGGACATTTGCCTCGTTCGAATTCGATCCCAGCATTCCAAACTGTTGGTATAGATTTCGTAATGCTGTTCAATTATGTCACCGACCCCTGATAAACTGATAGAGATCCCGACGTTGGTTAGCAGGAGATACTTTTTGCTGAACGCTTTTCTCGCAAGAACTTGAAGCTGTCTAAGCACTCTTATCATTTGTGGGAGGAATTCACGTATCGAAACGAAAATAATTGAAGGTATTAACGCACAGAAGAAAGTGCTTCACAACCAAAGCGCGGCGTATGGAGAATGGAGGCACTACAATTTGTAAACAAAGCTTTTTTCGATTTTGACCTAATTTGACATTAACAGTCACGTGCTCTCTGACGTTTGCCATATGACGTCATTATGTCTAAGACCTGCCCACATTCTTGCACTCATACGCCAAAATACGTTATGGTTGAGGTTATGGTATCCCAATGACTTTATATAAGGTCTGGGCCAACAGGCAGCTTGCTGGTGTTAGAAGCAAAAATGTTGTAAACATTGCTGAACATCTGCGAACAGATAGATATACACTCAGGTCTTTTTTTACACGGGGGATACGGTCCGTGTAAAAAAAACCGTGTAAAAAAAACCTACGAGATTTTGATTTTTCGCATGCTTAAATGTTTTTAAAAAATCGGATTTTGATGCCATTTGTAATTAAAGCATAATATAGTCCATATAGACATATTTTAAAAATTTCTGTATTTACACCAAAAATTGTGATTTTTTTTTTAAGTATGCCATTCGATTACAAATAGCTTGAAACGGATAATGTGATTGGAATCAAGTCGATAGGTTGTATCGTTGTCGAGAAATCGTTAAAAACGTACCGTGTAAATCGTGGAAAACCGTGTAAAAAAAACCGTGTAAAAAAAAACCGCGTAAAAAAAACCGTGTAAAAAAAGACTTCAGTGTACGTCACTGCCAACATACTGAGAACAGATAGAAACAGCTGTTTCGTGTAAAAAAATAAACATTGCAATATAATACGAACACCACTAACCATTTGCACATTTCACTAACACCAATAAGCCCTTTGGCCCAGACCTTATATAGACGTCATTGATGGTATCCAGGCAGCTAATCCCATTATTGCACTCACACTAAGTGATTTTCAGGGGAAACATGTCAGAAGGATCTAACTTAAAACGTAAACAATTACTGGGATCGTCGGTTTCTTCCGAATGATAACACACGTAACACACCCATTCAAACTCAATGAGATACCTGAGTAACAGAGAGAGGTGAAGCAGATTGTGAAATATTGTTGATTAGTAAACCAAAAAATCAACGTAAACGCAAGTAGTGACGTCACTAATTGCTTGTATCGTACAGGGGTTTTACTCACACAACTTAACCGATTGCTTCACCTTGGTAATCCAGCTCATTGACTCAAACAAACTAAATCATTTGACAGAGCAATATTTGTTGTGCTGTTTGTCTGGTGTATATATAGATACAATAGATTCCATAGATAAGCGGAGACACAAAAAGTTGTTTTGGCTACCATGAATAATAAATGATCTTACTGGCATCCGTGAAAAAAGTTCATGCCATCATAGAGCTCTTCGTTGTGCAGTTTTGTTTTGCTTCGTGCGTAAAAGTTCAAAATGAAGTGCAAAGCAAATCTTTGCAACAATGAATCGAGGAATAGTTTGCTTTATCTTTTCTTCTTGCGTTGTCCGTGAAATAAATCGGAATGTGGAGTGTGGAAAGCGCTTTGTCCTCATAATATTACAATACTTCTCCCTCAAACAACACCACGCTGACGTCATGCTCGTTTGGCTACGCTTATCTATGGAATCTATACTATCTATAGTCTGGTGTAGTCAGATTCTGTGGGTGTGTCATTGTTTGCGTTTCGAGTTATACCCTTCTGACATGTTTCCCCTGGACTTAAGCATTTCGCAAACGTCAGAGAAGAAAGTCAAGACCAACAATTGAAATGGCCTTAACTCCATTTTGTAAACAAACCTTGTAAGGCCATTTTCTCCCGAACCGAAGTCCGCGAAGACAAACCAACATAATGAACAGGTAGGGGAAATTCTCCTCTACCCGATTGTGGTTGATCGATTTTCTTCATAGATTTTCTCCTTCGCGAATAACCCGACTGAAAATGAATTTTCAATTCAGTGTGTTGTTTCAGGCGCAAGCTACCATTATCTTCTGTCGAACTGTGCTGCGACCTTAGCGAGAAATTCGTTTATGTTGCCGTGGTAAACCAAAGAGAAAGTCGATGAAGAGTATCGATCAACGGGGATAGGATCTTTTCAAATGTTATGCGTTAATTATTACAAGTACACAAATACATCTCGGAAATCAGGAGTAACAATTTGTAGAAGCTGATTTTTTTTAGGGTTAGAAGTGAGGTTAGAAGGAAAGGGGTGTAAGTGACTTTGATCTCTTCATCTGCTTTCTCTTTTGATAGCCACAGCACAGACAAACAGACATAACACATTGAATATTCCTCATTGTAAAACATCGTCGCTAAAACATTACCGCCATCTGTTGAGTACACTGTGTTGGGTAGTACACTGAACAGATGGCGGTAGTGTGTAAACGTCAAACGCAAGAGAACTGACTATGCGCGCCACAGGTGGCGGTACTACCAACTACGATACTTTTAAATTGACCGTCAAATGCTTGTTCGATGAACAACTTGCGAGTGTTATGTCTGTTTGTCTGTGGCCACAGCTTCATAAAAACAGATTTTGCACTTTTTCTGCCACATAGTTTGATAAAGGAGGTTCTCATCTAGCATCCAGAATGGCACACGAATCAAGGAATGTGTTTGCAACTGAATTCGATGAATGCAGATTGACCCTTTTGAAATGTTTATCTTGAATTTTCAGTAGTTTTTCGTCATTATCACTTTTTCGCTACTAATACCTAGAAATACTCACAGGGAGAGATAGGCGGAGAAAACAAAATACTATTCGGCGGCAGGGATTTGTTCCTAAATTATCTTGCAACCCTTGCTAGAAGCTAGCATTTCAAATGACTTTTATTTTTGATTCGATTTACGTGCAAAATAATAATTGATTGCATCGCAATATTTTGCACTTTTCTTGGTGCCATTCATTAACCAACGAAGATCAATTAATCAATAGAGTTAGAATATTGTTTTTGATTCCAAAATCTAGTTGAATTTGAGAAGCACACAAAACATAAAGGTGATTGAATTTCTGTTCGATTGCAATACTCTCAAATTTATTCTAGTAAGAATAAGAAATCCTCGGAAAAATTCTAATTGGAATGTTCGATTGGCATTTTGACAGTTCATTTGGCTTAAAACATTCTCTCCGCCCATCTCTCCCTCTGAGTATGTTACTAATACCAACAAATACCCTCTTCTGTCAAACCTGTAGAAATCTAATTGAGGGAATATACGACCAACACATCAAGCTGAACATTGCATTAGGTCCTAAGTAACATTGACAGATTCTCTTCGTCGACTTTCTCTTTGTATCCCCACGGTCATGTAAAGACATTCTCAGGTATTTTAAGCACATAAACCGATAAAAGAAGCTTTTATCTAGCATCCAATACGACAAACACATCAAGAAACGGTTCTGTGAATAAGTTATTGACGAAAGAGAAAGTCGACGAAGAAAATCGATCAGTGTTACTTAGGACCTAAACTTTGCATTAGCTTGACATACTTTTAAAGAATAGGCGCAAAAACGGCAGAAAATAATTGTCGATGATCAGCTCCATGTTGTTTTTAATGTGGAATTCGTAACGAGAATCGTTATTTCTTTGAAACTAACTTTCGTATGTGAGATAATGTCCTCAAAGCAGTTTATCAATATCAACAATAAATATGACCGCGTAGTTGTTCTGGTAAGTGGTATAATATTTATCCGATGATAACGCCTAATCTGTTTATCCCACAGGTTGATATGGATTGTTTCTACTGTCAGGTGGAAGAAAAGTTAAATCCCGAAATACGTGGGAAACCCATTGCGGTTGTACAATACAATCCGTGGCAAGGTGGAGGGTAAGCAAACACTCTTGAAAATGTTACTTGGTCATAATTATCGGAAAATATTTCCTATTCAGTATAATCGCCGTTAACTATCCGGCCCGTGCTAAAGGTGTGACCCGGCACATGCGTGGAGATGAGGCGAAACAGCATTGTCCAGACATTGTGCTACCGCAGGTGCCACAGGTTCGTGGCAAAGCAGATATTTCCAAATATCGGGACGCCGGCAAGGAAGTGGCCGCCGTTTTACAGACATTCACTCCACTTCTGGAGCGAGCGAGTGTGGACGAAGCCTACCTGGACATCACGGAACGGGTGTTGGCTCGGTTGCGTGATATGAACGAAGGTAAATTCCATCTGCTTCCTGATAAGCTGGCGAACACCTTTGCAGTTGGATACGATAGTGTTGGCGAATTTGTGCAGAAAATTTCCGGGGATTTGGAAGGTAAAATATGCTCTCAAGAATTAGACAGTGAGGAAGACAGAGTCGCATATAAGAAAAGTGACATTAAGCTGCTAATAGGAGCTTCTATAGTGAATGAGATTCGCGCAGCGGTAAAGGAAAAAACCGGCTACGAATGTTCTGCTGGCATTTCCCATAACAAGATTCTGGCTAAGTTAACCGCCGGTTTTCATAAGCCTAACAAACAAACCATTTTACCTTTAAAGTGCATCTCAAAAATGTACGAAACGCTATCGATAAAGAAAGTTAAAGGTCTTGGTAGTAAACTGGGGGACCAAGTGTGTGAAATTTTGAAAATTCAAACCATGAGTGAGCTGGCTAAGTTTTCAGAAAAGGTTCTCCAGAATCACTTTGACGAACGAATAGGATCATGGATGTACCTGATGGCAAAAGGCATCGATCTGGAAGCAGTGACTCCAAAATTCAATTCGAAGAGTATTGGCTGCTGCAAGAGATTTCCGGGTAAAAATGCAATTAGTGGTATCGCTACTCTCAAGCACTGGCTGGGTGAGTTGGCCAATGAAATACAAGAAAGGTTGGAGAAGGACATGGACGAGAACAACCGAATTGCCAAACAAATGACAGTGAGCTATGCTCAGCAATTTGGCCAGAATGATGTGTCCAGCACGAGAAGTGTTCCCTTGGTAGGGTACAATGCTGACCGGATCGCTGCCGATGCTTTAGAAGCCATCAAACGAAATACCGATGTGTTCCTCAAACCGGACAGTTCCGGCGCGTTAAACAATCCTATTAAGTTTCTCGGAATAAGCTCTGGGAAATTCGAGGATAATGCAACCGGAAAGAAGAGCGGATTGAAGGAAATGTTTTCGAATATTGCCAACAAAGCCAAGGAAGGTGAATCGTCCAAAGAGTTCGAAAAGGTTGAACCAATTTCAGCGAAGAAAGAGCCAGAGAAGAGGGACTTAAAGCATTTCTTCAGAGAAAAAGATGGCCCAAGTGAGCCCAAAGAAGTCACTTGTTCTGTTGAGAATCAACAGCAAAGAGTTCAGAACGACCCTATCAAGTTTATCGGGAAGGAAATGTTTTCAAATATTGCCAACAAAGCCAAGGAAGGTGAATCGTCCAAAGAGATCGAAAAGATTGAACTATTTGTTGCGAAGAAAGAAGAAGCACAAGATGGACCAAGTGATCCCAATGAAGTCACTTGTGCTACTGAAAATCAACAGCAAAGCGTTCAGACCGATTCCGTAGAAAGTAGTCCGAAGAAAAAGCCAAGCCAAACCATGTTTATTAAAAGTTCTAATCACAACTCCGCTGTCGAGAAGGTCAACGAATGTAGCTCCGTATTGCTGCACAACATATCGGAAGATGACCCAACAATTGCTGCGCTGGAAGCTAAGCTTGTTGAAGATCTTTCCGAACCTTATCTGTATGATACTCAACCAATCGAAAAGGTCCAAGTGGCAAAATATGCGTGCCCCCAAAGTCCGCTCAAATATGGAGAAAGCATCTTAGAGCGTCCTAAAGATGATGAAAACCCTGGCGAAAAAATAAGCAAATTAACATCTTTGGAGGTGAAATCAGTTGAATCCATAAACCAGGAGGTAGGTCACTATTGATTACATGCATCCCCTTTTGCTCATCATAGATAAAATCTTTTAAAGTTTTTTTTTTTTTTTAAGTTAATTAAGACCAACCCCATCTTCTAAAACATAATTTACCAACAACCATAACACGTCGCCGCATCGTCAGTTGGGAAATGGTAACAAATCCTTTCGGTGAACATATGGGTGTGCTCATACATAACCTGATCGAACATAATCCAACGTTGCTATTTGGAAAAACAATGTGAAACTTCAAACGGGAAATTTTGTTTTCGTGTGTTCCGTGTGCAATTCGGCTAGAACTAAAATTACTCTGCAGAATGAGTGCGTACAAGAAGCGTGAAATTTATTATTGAAATTGTTGAAAATTTGCTATAACTTTGCTGACGTTCTTTGTACCTAGCTAAATTTCTTGGTGCTTATCACAAGAACTTGAACTTGTTAAATGTTGGAAAACTCTATATTTGCCATTTTAAATTAGAATTATACCACTAATTAGAAACCACTAGATTGAAATACTTACATTACTTAACTAACTTTTACTGGTCCACCGTCCCTCAAGATTTCACCTGCTGCATAATGTTGCGCCAACTAACTCGGTTCATGGTTGTTTGTCTCTAGTTTCTCGAGCATGTCATACTTCCTAGATCTTCCTCCACTTGGTCTAACCACCTAGCTCGTTGCGTTCCTCTAAGCACGCGTCGTTCACAAATTTTCAGTGCTTGCAGGTCCTCACCGACTCGTTCCCTTAGAGAACTACAGGTCTTAGCAGCGTCTTGTACATGGTATACGAGGGAGGTGACTCTATCGAAAATACAGGGATGATTTTGATTTGCCGTCGTTAGATACGGTCGCGATGCGTAGATGGATGAAAGGTTGATGATTCTGTAGATGTCTTGCAAAAAGATGGAACGCGATGCGAGACGATTTAGATGTGTGATTTGGAACAATGATTTTTTGATGACGATTCGCTAGCGTGAGATTTTAAGGGCATCTTAGGATTGAGATTTAGATGCGTCGTTTTGGTACACTTAAGGGGAAGTTTACCGCCCCGAGAATATTTTTTTTCAGGCACGTTTTTATTTTTTTTAAAATATTGGGAAAAATTATCAAAAATCCAAGACAATCAGATTTTACCTTAGATTCGACTTCCCTGGGCATATAGTATGATTGTACTTGGCACACAATTATACAAATGCAAAAAATGGTACAGGCATCGAAAGCTCTCAATTAATAACTGTGGAAGTGCATCTAGAACACTAAGTTGAGAGCACGCAATAAGCTAATATGCCATATACGCAATAAGCTTAAAATGCGAGGAAGAAGAAGAATGTTTTGATTTGCACCCCAGTATAGTCGATAAAGACGTAGTTCTACGTCAAAATACTTGAGTACCAAAATGTTGTTTACAACGGAAAGTCTTTGGCGCACTTTTACCATCATTTTCCGAATCGATGTTTGTACTACCTGCGCTTGCCATAAACGTATGTCAAAAGTCTTTATAAGATGATTTCGGCAGTTTCAGAAGGATGTATTTCCAACAACTACCGTGGCAGAAACTTTTCGACTTCCTGAGCATTAGACGAAACTTGGTTGGATCTTATTTCGGACAGAACTGAGTAACATCCGAACTCAATCTGCGAACAGATTTCAGATGCTGTGTAGGCAAAATATATTCAACTGGATAGCACCCACATTGTGATGCACATTTAGGTTCTGAACTCAGATTTCATCGAAAATACCCTATATTTGTGCCCTTTTTTGTATGTTAAGCAATCGCAGCTTGGGATAACGGAAATTCTTATTACTTCTATTTCGTTGCAGGTAGTGAAAGGACCATCTTCAAGTAGTGGGCCATCCGTTTTGGATTACCGTCGGACATATGCCGAGTTTAACCGTCCTTTATGTCTACCGGAACCGATTAAGAAACCTTGCCCTGAATGTGGTAACGATGTACCTGAAAACGAACTACAGTCCCATCTTGACTTCCACTTTGCCCTTCAGCTGAGCCAGCAACAACGGGATGAATTCCGAACCGAAATAAAAACTAAGTTCTCTTCTCCTGCAGCTGCAGCAGTGAAATCCAAACCACATCAACCAGCTTCTCGACAAGTGACCAAAACCAAAGTTCCATCAATCGACAAGTTTCTTGCTACAACTACTGCGACGAATACCTCTACGGAGGATGCAGTTACAAAATGTGCCGAATGCAACAAAAGAATTCCAACAGCGAGTATGCAGGAACATCTCGACTATCATGCCGCAAGAAAACTGCAAATTGAGCTTAATAAACTGGAAATGCAAACAGTTAAATTGAACGCATTCGGCGTCAACGCAAGCAATACCGGTGCAGGCAGCAGTCTCAAACGGAAGCGACCCTCGACTAGTGATAAAAGCCAACCGGCAAAGGTGAATAACCTGTCGTCATACTTTACAAAAATGTAATAACGACAAGGAAGTAACACTAATCGATCTTCTGTGCCATATATGAAACTGTTAGTTTTAATTATTGTATCCTAAGTTCTAAGAGAAACATGATTTTTACAACGTTATATGTATCTAACCTATTTTGTTTATTTCTTACGATACAAATGCTTGCAATTCTATGAGTTAACCGAACATTTTCTTAACCATACAGTTGTATTTGTTATCCTCCTGTTGCCAGCTACTCTTGATCTGTTGGTGCAACACCACACAATCCTTGCTAGAGATGTAATCAATTTTTTCCAAGGTTTTGATTGCTTCCGGAAACTGCTTCACGTGAAACTGTGCAAGTGCTTTCCGGTAGACTGCTTTCTCCGAGGGTTTTTCCTGACGGTCAACATACTCTAGAATATGGAGCACTTCTTCGTAGCGGTTTTGCTTAAGAAGGCAAGCGGAAATGTTGAGGTACAGGACCTCCAGCAATGTTTGCATTTCACTGATAGTGTCTACTCCTTCCTGTGCGGGGTCCAGATCTTCCAGCGGAGCACAGCAGAGCAGACATTTAGCGGCACGGTTAAAGTATCTATGTGCGTACAATGGATATTTGGGGAACATTTTTACGCCGTTATCTTTGTAGTTTTTTGCCAGGGCTAGCATTTCTCCAGGGGATTTAGTGAAAAAAAGATCGGAATTTTCAATTCTTAATAATTTAAGAACACAACTGATTTGCTGGCCACTCGCCGTGGTGATGGTGCATTTACTTTTTTCGTTGAGTAACATTTGCATTAGGAACAGTTCAATGTAGCAATCAATTGGAGTGAGCCCACTTCCGATGGCAATCCATTTTTCGGAAATTTTTTCATCCTGAGTGAGTATGTTGGATTCCTTTCCTCCAAGATCACTGATATCGCAAATGTTTACAAGGCAGCGGGCCAGTTCGGAAGGCTTAGTCATCGACATGAAACGAAAATTGATCAATTCTTTGCGCAGTCCTCTAACATCGTCTGTCCATACTTTAGGAACTAGCTCATTTCGAGCAGATGTCCGCGGCACAATTGGCGACTCAATGTCCATAGCGTATCTCCTAAAATGGGATTGTAGATTCGAGGATTTACCTCGTGGCTCTCGTTTGCGTTGAAGTAATGCTTCGTGATGTAGAATCTGGGAACTTCCTCGGAAAGTATCGCGTACAGAATTCCTTGAGCTCCTTCGCGAGATGTTTTAATCAACAGTATTCTCAGTGGCTTTTGTAAGTAAAACAATGCCTTATTCGCCAAGGGTGGAAAATTCCTGTAGATGTTCGTCTCAACGTTTCCGGGATCTACACAGTGAATGGACACGGTTGAATCCGCCAATATCGATGAGAGTTTGTGCGCAAAAAGCACCAAGCTAAATTTACTGTACTGATACGCTCTGAACCGATTGCTAGGTAGATCTTCAAAGTCTCGATGTAACTCCAAATCTGGAAATCTTTCCACGGCTTGATGTGCCTTAGAGGACACGTTTATGACCCGACTGTTGCCAGGAAATTGTTTCAGTCTGGGTAATAGCAAAACCGTTATGAGATAGTGGCTCAAGAAATTCACCTAAAAAAATAGTAATCATTGTATGAAATTACCTAACATCTACAAATAAAAATATAAAAAGACCAGTCACCTGGAAAGTTTGTTCAAGCCCATCCACAGTTAACGCAGGTGGTGCATAGAATACTCCGGCGTTATTCACCAGAGCGTATATAGGTTTTTGCAAGGCATTCACTTGCTTCACGAACGCAGCGACGCTCTTCAAGCAGTTCAGATCCAAGTCAAAAATATCCACAACAATATCGCTGCCAAATTGATCCTTCAAATCCTCGCGAAGTTTAAGGCCGGCTGCTTGGTTCCGACAACCCAGCACCAAATGGCAGGCTTGTGATACTAGTTCACTGACCACGGCCAACCCAATGCCCGAAGTTGCACCGGTGATAACAATCAACTCGCGATTCGCGAAATTTCTTCTGGTCCGATAGAGTCGACCGATGTAATGCCACCTAAAAGTTAATAAGAAGAAACGTTCATCTGTGTTTATAATCTTTTTGTTACACCGTTGTAATGAAACTATGCTAAATGAACGCGAAAGCACGAGGAAAATTACCGAATTGCAAAGGTTACAGTGCCAAGGGTCAATAGCAAAGCAATCTTTTGCAAGACTCCCATCACAGAAATTTAGAACGGAGGCACGCACGACACATAAAAAACAAGACGACTGTATAGCCTTTATACAACATTGACTGATAACCAAAATCACCTTTACCTTCTTCAACGGAATAACGAGATAAAACTGTGATAAAGGATGTTGTTTGAACTTTGAAGGTATATAAATATCAATGATTTAAGGTCCGAGCCAACAGGCACTTGCTGGTATTAGAAGCAAAAATATTGTTACTTTGCTGAGTGAAACGTCACTCTATCACAATATTCTATTCACGGTAACCGCAAAATACCCAATAATGACTACAAAGGAAGCATTTTCGAGGGAAACTGGGACTACCCATTAAATGAGTAAAATTTTACCCATTTATGAGTAATTACAACTACAAAAACAAGTAGTAAGTATTCATTTTTGAATAATTACTCATAAATGGGTAATATTTTTACTCATTTAATGGGTAGTCCGGCAGTCCCACACTCAGAAATACTGCGAGTCGTACATAGTTTAAAATTTAATCATTTTTGTCATTCGCGAGATTTACAACCAGCATAGTTTAAAAAGTATACTATCTTCACCATATACTTTAAACTAAGCCCGATTTGTACGAGAGAAATTTTTCCAGTGTATTCGTCGTAAACATAATCAGCACCCCTCCATGCGCGCTGTCATTTCGATCATTTCAGTTTGCCAGCAAGCAGTGTTTTGTTTCTCGGTGACAATTTTTAACCTGAAATTACAGTAGGTAAATTGATTTTTTTTATAATATTCCATTATACCTTATGTCTTTTTATTACAGGTAACCCTCAAGAGTGGATTCCAGATTTTGTCTGGTTTATCTGCCTCCAACTAAGCCAGCCGATCGGTCCCTCTCTCGGTTCCTTTACCTGGACGATCCCGTATGTTCCGGAGAAATTTCTCTTCGGTTACATAGTTGTCTGCTGACGTATCAAGGTAAGTCTACTTTTTAATCAAATTTAAGTAGGATTAGGAAAGAAATCGATCTTTGTTGATTATTTATCTTTGAATATTCCAGCATGGAAAGATTACCCCAAGAGCTTGGCGAGGAGGTTGCTGCTAGGTTAGTGGGTAAGTATGTCATTGGAGGTCATGCAACTTAATAGTGAATTTGTTTATTCCCAGGTTGGAACCAGTTCCAACCCAGTGCGAACCCAAACTTTTTGTCAGTGCGAACCTCGACCCGATCAAAGTAATGTTTGCTAGTAAACAAGCAGACCCTATCTTGATACCCGATCCAGGTTGGAACTGGATAATAAACAAATTCGCTATAAGTTTCGTTATGATGTTCACCAAATGAACAATAATCATACTTACCTGGCATTAACCCCTATGATGATCAAATGAACAATAATTCTTACAAATTATTTCTCCTGAATGTGAAAATTTATTTAGCCGATTATCGAATATCCAGCCTAATTGATGGGGCATCGTTGTTTTGGACCAAGCAGAATAGAGAATCCTGCACTGAACCCGGTCATGGAATTAAACTTGATTGATTTTAGAATAAGGCCAATGTCCGTTTTGTTGATCAAAGAATCGATTAAGTTTATTCGCTTTCTACAGCGGTGGATTTGCAATAAAAAATTCAAGCTTTGAACTTTTGATTGCATTCATCAATATTGCAAACACACAGCTCAGGTCGCGGTAGAAAGCGAATCAAGTTAATCGATTCTTCGATCGACAAATGAACATTGGACGTATTCTAACATCAATCGATAATAGCTTTCGCCCTGACCGTAGAGTGTCCTTAAGTTCTTCTCAACAGTAAAAAGCCAACCTGTGCGTAGCCTTGATGGAGCTGACGTATCTAAGGTTCTCTGCTGATTGTTTTTACGTGTTACTCTTACGGTATACGAGTAACATGCCCAGCCCAATGTAGGCTGCCTTGTTTTATAAGCCTCACACTATTAATTTTTCAACAACTTTTATACAACTCGTGATTCAGATTCCGAATGTTTTCGAGTCAACGTTCTTCAATGGTTAGAATTCAAATCATTACGATATGAGTCACTGGAAGGATGAATGTCTTTATAAAACAACTTCTGACTTCTATTTTTGTGTATTTTTGGCATTGAGGAGCATGAATTCAGTTCGCGTCATTCAAATTTAAAGAAAAGCAACACTCTCCCCTCTTTCGTCACGTTTATCCTTTACCTAATGCATTGTTGTCACACATTTGTACACCCCCTCCCTTCTAAGAGCGTGATGAACTTAATGGATTGCTCCCTTACCTGTTTTAGTATGTATTAGTATGCATTCATCAGCTGTATAGTATTGCAATAACTTTTTCCAAAACCCTCTCCCTGTTTCTATGTGTGACGTTACAAAAATACGAAAAAATACCTACTCAAACCTTTTGCCTTGTTACCATACATTAATAAGATTTTCAGTTGGTTCAAAGTTAACCATACATAAACTTACTATTTTTTAAGGGTATGCCTGTCACATTTGTACACCAGGAATCAATACAGTTGAAGGAGGAATACATGAGTTAAAAAAGCATTTGAAAAATGTCCATGGGTTACGTTTATCTAGAAGAAATGCTTTACCATTCACGTGTTTGGAAAATGTAAATGAAACACATCGATGCAATGCACAGTTCTTTATGTTCAAAAACTTTCAAAGCCATTTGCTGGAAAATCACTCACTTCATTACTATGGTGCTATTGATGCAGATAATAATGTAGAACCTCATAAGGAACCAGAACAACACGAGCCACCTAATATGACAAATGTTTTTTTCGAAAATCTAGATGGTATAACCAACATGGTTATTTTCCAGAATACTACCAACCTGGAGGAAATTCTAAACTTCACAAGTAATTACATTTCTGAAATGCGTTGCAATGTATCGATTCCAGAGAAATTTATACAGAACGTCATTTCATGCACCAATAATCTTATAAACAAAATTGAAAGCTATCTGTGGAACAAAATTAAACATGTCATACAGACTGCACGGAATATGATTGATCAGGAATGCTTGGTGAACATAATAAACAGTTTCACTGTGGGAAATGTTTTCACAAATATCAAAGATATGAATACTCATATTGCATACATGGCAATGAAAATGAAATGTAAAATTCCTGAGCCAACTGAAATTATTCTTGAGGAAAAAAGAATCAAGCAGTATAAAAAAATTCTCAAAAGAACTGGAGTTGTTAGAAAAGAAATAGTGAAGACAGTAAAAGATACATATCAATATATCTCTGTTTGTGAGCTTCTATCATTGATAATGAGAAACCCAGATGCAATGGAACTAGTGGAAAAAGAAGATGTGTCACCTGAAGGCTACATATGCTCATTCAAGGATGGGACAGAATTTAAAAATCATCCTTATTTTCATCACAGTCCAAACGCGCTTCGTCTAACATTGAATGCTGACGAAATAGAAATCGTGAACAATTTAAGTTCTAGAGCAGGTAAGCATAAAATCGCACATTTTTACATCAAAATCCAAAACTTTGATCGATGTCGAGATTCTACTTACAACACAAATTACTTAGTGCTATCTATTAATTCTAAAATTCTAAAGAAACATGGATACCACGAAGTTTTAAAAACACTGATCAATGATTTAAAATCGTTGGAATCTGGATTAAGGCTTAAATTTGGTAATGCAGAATATGTTATGAAAGCGATTCTATGCTCCTTTGCTGGGGACACATTAGCAGTCCATGAGATATTTGGCTTATTAAGTCCAAGCGCGTCATACTTTTGTAGACAATGCTACATAACTAAAACTGATTTGAAAAATGGCAATGTTGGAGCAGTATTTGAACAAAGAACCGAAGCATCACATCAACTAGATTTGGAAAACATTCAAAACCAGCAAATAGAAGCAGCACAAACAGGCAGACAACGTTCTAAAATTAAGGTAAACTCTTAGCTTTAGTGAATTAAAATTACATCGCTAGTTTTGTTTTTACAACAATTCAACAATATCATACTAACGTATACATCTCAATCAGTTCAATGTAAAAAATAATTAAAATTAATCCAATTTTATCTATTATCAATTTATTTCATGGGTGAATGGTTGAAATGACGCAATCTAAGTGGTTTTAGATTTTAGTTTTCAAACATTGATACATAAATGGATAGAAATCCCCTTACCTAGCCCCTTACCTTTTGGCAAATTTCTATTGCTGATTATTCATCAAATGTATAAGTCAACTAATAACTGACGCCTTGCAAAAAAGTTAATGAAGATCATATGCCAAATGAAATGTATAAATGATCGCACATACCTTTTATGCATTCTTATAAGAACTATGTGGTTTGTAAAGTATACGACTGATGTTTTGGCAAAAATGTATAAGCGAAATTTTCGTTTCGTTTCGTGTATGTCTAGGTTTTCTAGTGCAAATGAACAAATCTCATAGTTCAATTAAAACCCGGCTTAGGTATTCTGTAAAAGTCCTGTTATTTCTTGCATGTTATTATAACTCTACAATGTGTACCACCATTCAATATTAATTAATTTATTTTTATATAATTATTATACAGGCGATAAGCGAACGCGGCGTGGTGAGAGATTGTGCGTTGCACGAACTGGAATACTTTAGAATTACAAAAAATCAAAACTTTGACCCTATGCATGATTTACTTGAAGGAGTCGTACCTCAAGTAATCAAACTTGTGTTACGAACATTTGTGAAGACCAACAAGTACTTCGACTGCAATATATTTAACGACCGCTTAAAAAACTTTGATTATGGACCAGTAGAAACTCAAGATAAACCTTGTGGTAACTTTTCCATTCAAAAACTAACAGAAAAAGGAAGCAAGCTTAAGCAAACAGCGGCTCAAACATGGGTTTTACTAAGAGTTTTCCCTTTCATAGTCAACGGACTGATACCTGAACAGAATAATGAGATGAATCTGATTATAATACTTCAGAAAGTTTGTTACGTATGTTTTTCAAACATGGCTACTCATGACATGATTGATGGATTGGAGTTCAACACAAATGCATTGCAAGAACAATTTAAAGAATTATTTCCAGGAATTGCACCAATAAACAAGCTACATC